AATTCTTGATTGTCAGTAATCGAATTAATTAATGGACATTATATCTTAAACATGTGGAGATAAATCGAGTAATTATTATTGGAGTCTCAATTGTAAATTGGGCTAGGAAAATAGAGTGCAATAATATTATGTTGGTGGCCCATTTAATATGATTTAATTAATTAAAATAAGTGGCTTAGTCCACAAGTATTTTGATTAATTAAGGAGCCCTAATCCTAATCTCCTAAGGATCCCTACTGTAGCTCTATATATACATCATTAAACTTATGGGAAGAGAAGAGAATCCCACATCTTGTGAAATCACGCCCCACGTTTCTCTTTTCTCTCTCTCTCTCTCTCAGTTCCCATTCGAGGCTTTATCTTCTTCTTGTTGTTCCACCGGTACAAGATTAAGAGGTGTTTGAGATATACAGTAGAAGATCTTTGGGTAAAACGAGACAAAATATATTTTGTCGTACAGAACTAACTAGAGGTCCGATCAAGACGTGCAGCATACCCAGACGACCGTCTCGACTAGAGATTTCCAACGCCGCCGAGACCGCAGCCGTCCGACCACCCACGCGCCCGCACGCGCCGCCGCAAGGCCCCAGGACTGCAACTTTGCCTTCTTCCTTTTGCACCTGTTTGATTCGGTTCTCGATTCGATCTTGTTCGTGCAACCCTAGGACGCGATTTTCAGTCAACAATTCATTGGTGTGCTGTGTACGACCATCCAGAAGATCAGCCAGATCGCCATAAATTTAAGCCGTATGTTCTCTACGCAAACCTTTAGATCCGCTGCGTATAGGTTTATGTTTTGCTATTGAATTCGTGATTTGTGCATAACGAGATCCTCATAGATAAGGTTATAAAAATGTATTTTTCAAACATAAGGGACGAAATTAGAATATTTGTTTACAAAACATAAAAACATTTTTGTTGCGAAAATGACTTTTTTTGTCACAGTTTTACAAACATACGGGACGAAAATAAAAAATGCAATTGAAAAGGACTAAAAAGATTAGGTAGTGAAACATAAGTGTTAAAATTACAATTTACTCTTTTTGTTTCAAAAGGATTGTCAATTTTGATGTAGTTATTGGGAAAAGTTTCTTTCTTGTAGTACATTATGAATAAAGTTTATACACGGCTACGGCTTTCCATTATTATAAAAAGCCGTAGTGAACTTAAATTTTAAGTAATGTTCCGTACCTCGAGGGAGGGCTAGGAGTTCGTGGTGAGACCCTCGGATTAATGTGGGGATACCACCCAGTCGACAAAAAAAAAAAAAAAATCTTAAATTTTAAGTAATGTTAAAACTTTTTTATTTGTTTTTTTTTTCATATGATATAGCAATCTTATTGCATATTAAAATATAAAACAATTATATTTATTTTTTAAATACAAAGAAAAGATAGATTATCAATCAATTGTACTTGAAATAAAATTTAAAAATAGATTATTCTTATTGCATTCATAAAATATAAAATAATTATATTTAATATTTATAAACAAAAAATAGATTATCAATCAATTGTACTTGAAAGAAAAATTAAAAAAATTATTCTTATTGCATACATAAAATACAAAATAATTATATTTAATTTTATAAACAAAAAATAGATAAATTGTACTTGAAATAAAATTAAGAAATAGATTATCAATTGGAGTTTTTTGTTTCAAAAGGAATTGTCAAATATGTAGTCATCCGTAAAGTGTAATGTAGTATATGCGTGCCATCTTTAATAGGGCAACTGAATGCTGACGTTTACTGCTACACATTTATAGGCACATGTATGGCTTTGGAAATCTCCCCACCTAATTTTGGAACGTGTTAAGTGGCAAACTCGCACAGTAACTAAGATTGAAATCTTTATAAATGTACTGGATATTTAAGGTATGTTTATTTATCAAATATCTCACTTTCAAATAATTCATATTCAAAATATAACTCAGTTTTAAATCAACTCCACTATCATCCATATTGCTAGAAGACCCACTAGC